GGAGGAGGAGGAAGCAAATGAGGAAAAGCTGGGTAGGTAAACTAGATAATCTTGAACAATATTCTCCCTGACAGAATAAACCAGCAGGATTGGCAGACATGGAGTAAAGGCAATGGTGAACTGAAGATAGGTCAGAAGTGAGAATAACTTTTTTTTTTTATTTCCCTTAGAAGAAAAGCAGAAAGGTGATGCTGATCCAGGAAATGCTAGTCAAGAGGAGGAGGAAGAGGAGGAGGATGATGACCGGAAACGTGCATCAGAGGTTAGAGTGCTTGATCTTTGAGGGAAACTTGTGCATTTTTTTCCTTAGTTTATGTAGAACAGACCTTACTACAGTGTTAAGAGTTAACTTGGCTCATATGATGCTGCCTCCCACTACCAAACTTCGGAAAACTTATATGACCCTGCAGAATAGGAATTGCTGTGGCCAACTTGAGCAGAGCTGGGCACTTTGCTAAAGGCACTGTGTAGAGCCTGCCTTGACAGAGGAGTGGGACTGCATGAACTGCATCTTCTTGAGGCAAAAGGCTTATTCAGCTTTGTGTGCAGCCAGGATGTGACCTTTTAGTGCTCCCCACTGACATAATGGCTGACTTAAAAATGGGTGGAGTGTTGAAGTTAAAGGATTCTCCCATCAGCAGAAGCTGTTGAGTGCTCCCAGCAAACAGCGTACATCCACTGTGAAAACAAGGACTTGGCTGTTTGCCACAAAGTAGTTACAGCAGTAGGTCCTTTCAGAAAGTAAATCCTAATGTAGAAGTGAAAGTAGATTATTCTTTGTAGATCTTCACAAAATGGTTATTAAAGATAATCTTAGGTTTTATTTCAATAATTACACAAATTACTTTCTTGCAGGAGGAGGAAACTGTGAATAGATCACCCAGAAACAGAAAGCCAAGGAAAGATTGAAAAAAGTCATAAGAACTTGATCTGTGATTTTTTTTGTTTTGTTTTGTTTTGTTTTTCTTTTGTTTTGAAACATGGTTCTGGGAGAGGACCTTGGACACCTTACATTGAAACTTGGACAAACCTCAAGATTTCACCATCCACAGGTTCCAGTCACACTATCCAATGTAATGGAGTGTCTAGCAGTAAAATATTTGCAATCATCTGTTTTAAAGAGCATCATTCCTGTAGAAAGAATGCATTTAATATAATGGGCTGTGGATTTTGGAATGTAACATAACTAACCTTTTCATTTTTGGTTTTAAATATTCTTTTCTGTTTTTAAGTAGATTGGTAGAATTTTTCCAGTCTCAAACCTTGGCTTAATTTAATATATTAATTAGTGAAATATAACAATGAATCTTGAAAGTGCTAGGTGATAATGCAGTTTTATAACTAGTTTTTTTTACAAATATGTAAATTCCTAAATGCACCGATGTCTTTATATCCCTTAAAATTTGGTAATTGTTTAAAGAAAAGTTATCAATGTCTTTGACAACCCCTCTGCCCTCAAAAGAAAAAACTAGGGGGGATGTATGGGGAAACAAGTAGTGAAACTGTAATTAATGAACTTCATTCTTTTGGGGGAGGGGAAAGAGGAAGAAGGGGTGGAAGGAGGGGGTTAGACAGTCTATAGCATATGATACTGTGCATGGCTAAAGCCCTGTTTAGTGTTGACAAACGATCTGGGATTTGGAGTGGGTCATGTTAATGTGGCATTTCATCCTGCAGACCTTGCAGATAACCGATTTTGTTTGTTCCTGAGCTCTTTTTGTGAAGCTGAGGGTTTGGGGGGAGGTGTGGTTAGGCTACTTCCCCCTTTCCCCTCTGCTCAGCCACCGGTTCTTTCCTCTCTGCGTGAAGATACACCTCTTCCTGAGAGCAGCTCTGCCTCAGTTGCTGAAGCACTTCATGTTCAGCTCATTGTCAAGCTCGATTTCATAGCTAGGCCTACTCCTTTCCAGGGTCCAAACACTGAATAAAACAGTGTCCCATATCCTCTTACTGTTGTCACTGTATGTCTACTGTAGAAATGGGGGAGGTAGGCAGGTACACAAGTTGAACTGAGTATTTGTTAAGGAAAAAGAAAAACTAAAAAAAACACAACCAAGATGTCAGTATTGTAGGTGGGGAAGGAGCATGTGGAATATCTTAACTGGTATGTGAAACTGTTTAAGTCCTTTATCTGCTCTTCATGTAACAAGTGCATTCTAAATTATATTGTGAATGTTAGGGAGTTCCAATTCCAGCTGAATAAATTTTTTTAAAGCGTTGAGTCTACCACATTATACTGTTTCAAACACTTTTTTTTTGTGGAATGCAGGTGAGCACTACAAGAGCATTACCTCTGAAGGTGAAATGGATGTAATTCATTACACTGTACCAAATATGTTGGCGTTTGGATGTCTATATAGATAAACTTTTGCCTTTGTTTAGAGTGAAATTAAATGTCCTAAAATTACTCTTCTTGCACTGAATTTAAACACTCCAGTGTTGTTTGGTCATAGGATAGGTATAGTGTAGGGAATAATTCCCAGGGGCTGGGGAGGGAAGAGTGTTCCAATTACCTTGCAAACAGTCTAACCAATTACTAAAAGACTCTTGTTTTTGGTTTGGGTTTTTTGGTCTTTTTTTTGTAAAACACTTCTTGCTGCCTGTCCTTATGTTGTATCCCTTGGTTGTTGTGTTTGAAATACTAGTGATCACAAATGCATAGCAGGATTTCTTGATCTTTCTGCAGTGTGCAAATAAACTATTGTAAGCAAGATACTGGAAGTAATTTCAGACTTCTGTTGGGAGCTGTTGCATGTTTAGAATGCCTTTGCCTGTTGAACACCTGGTAAATACTGCTCCTTATTGCAAATATAGCTTATACTCTGACATGGAAGATGTCATAACTTAAGCATTGCTACTGGCTTGTTCTCAGGACTGTATTTTTATCAAGGAGCAGCTGCTATTTATGACTCTCAGTCCTTTGAGATGAAGTATGTGTAAATGGTTTCAATTCAGCTAACATTTTGAGCACAACATAAAAATCTATTAATCTAATGGTTTTTTATCTTAATATGCAAATTGCCTTAAACTCCCAAACGACCCATGTGCATACATGTTCTTTCAAAGCATCAAAAGTGAACTTGAGATCTGCTATCAGCTTTTAAATAGTATTATATTAAATCTAATTGTAAATCTACATTTGCTTCTGCTAAATCTCCTGAAAAAGTCTCCTGTCTGCATGTTATGGCTTTTTTTGATACCTTAGTGTATGCTTTAAATAATCACTACAATAAATGAAGACTTTCCAAAATGGATAGACAACTCAAGTTACTTCTTATCTTGCTTTCTGGCTTAGGTGCCTCAGTTTGACCTCAGGATTGCTCTTATTTTTAAAGTCTTGGAGGAAAAAAATTTAGTTATCTGCTTATCCTGAGTGCTTTTAAAGCATAACTGTGTGTTCTAAAGTAGTGAAGCTCCACCTTAAACTGGGTTTGGAAATGTTACAAACACTTGAAGGTGTACTTGGGCTTTTTGTGTCTGTGCACCCAAGGGTGGCAGCTCTTGAAAAGGATGCTGAGCTTAATGTGCTGTGTCTGAGGATGAGGAGGGGGGGTGTTAGACAGAAAAATAAAAATAAAAATAAAACCAAAACCCATGGGCTCTGAAGGACACGAGGCAGCAGAAGGGCTGGGAACAGTTTTTCTCCTGGAGCTGATGCTTGGTCAGGGAGTTGATATTAAGGATGCAGCTTAATATCTAACCAACTAACCCTTCCCAAAGTGTTGCTGGATGTGATCTGACCTTGCTGGGGCTGGTGAATAGTGAATTGTCACAGCTTGAGGCTGTGACCTCTCAAGTGCATTTTGAAGGTCTGTTTATAAGATTGACTCCAGGGCCCGAGGAGGGCTTCTTGCTAGTGCTGACTGCTTGTAGTTGTACGTTTCCGTGGTTGTCTCTCCTTCCTTACTCCTTCCTCACAAGCTCAGCTCCTCCTGGGAGGCTGTGGGTATATCCCTGGGTCTGGTGCCCACTCTCCGCATCCCAAACTGGTGGTAAATGCCACTTCTTGCCTTGTGGTTTCAAAAAGGGTTTTTTTTGGTTTACTTGTTTTTTTTTTTAGTGTTGCTGAACAAGGACTGTGATTTCATGTCCCTTTCAAACAGGTACTTGTAGATGGCGACTTGAAAAAAAAATGTAAAAACTAATCAATAAAGAAACTGAAATCCGTTTGGCTTTCTTTGTGTAATTAGCAAAGGTGCATCGGGTGACGGTGAGGTGAGCGGTGACTCTGCTCCTCCTGCGACGGGCAAGCTCGCAGTTTGACCCGAAAGCGGAGGTTCCGCAGTGCAGAACCCTGTTTGGAGAAGGCTTTTCCCGGGACACCGGGACCCTGAACTCGCCGGGACGGGGCGGGGCGGGCTCCGCTCCATGCCGCCCTCCCTGTCAATCACAGCTGGCTCCGCCTCCCGCCGCCCCTGATTGGCTGCGCCGCGGCCGCCCCGCCCCTTCCCTACCTGTGCCTTTTAAAGGCGCCTGGCCCCGCCCCCTGATCGCCCCCACCATCTCCTTCGCGCCCCCGCGCCTTTCTACTGGCTGGCGGGGCTGTCAATCACGGCTCGTGACGCGCCACGCGCCGTGACGTCCCCCCCACCCAGGAAGCTCCGCCCCCTTATTCTCAACTCGGCTCTGGAGGGGAAAAACAGTTTCAAGATGGCGGCGGCGCGGACAACAATGGGGGGCCGGGGGGCCGGGCCGGCCCGCGCCTCCTGAGCGCCGCGGCCGAGGCAGCGCGGCGGCCCCGCGGGGCGCGCAGGGCTGAGCGAGAGCGGCGCAGCGCAGCGGCGCCGGGCGCGGCGGAGAAGGAGGAAGTGGGGCGGAGGGGAGCGGAGCGGGCGCCGGGCCGGGGCGGCGGGGGGAGGAGGAGCCGGGGCGATCCCGGCGGGGAGCGCAGGTAAGGCCGGCGGGAGGGGCGGCGGCGGCCCCGCCATGGCGGGCGCCGGTGCGAGCAGCCGGTGAGCAGCAGCAGCCGCGGCGGCGGCCGCCCCCTCGCCGTCCGGCCCATGGTGCTGCCCCCCTGCCCCATGGCGGAGTTCGTGGTGCCGCGGCACAGCGCGGTCATGGAGCGGCTCCGCCGGCGCATCGAGCTCTGCCGGCGGCACCACAGCGCCTGCGAGTCCCGCTACCAGGCCGTGTCCCCGGAGCGCCTGGAGCTGGAGCGCCAGCAAACCTTCGCCCTGCACCAGCGCTGCCTGCAGGCCAAGGCCAAGCGGGCCGGCAAGCACCGCCAGCCGCCCCCGGCGCCGCCGCCGCCCGCGCCCCCTCCGCCCGCCGCGGCCGCCGCGGGCAGCGCCGAGAGGAGCGGAGCCAACGGGCTGGACGGAGAGGCCGCCGGCGCCGAGCAGCACGGCCGCAGCAGCGCCCTGATCGCGGTAAGGCCCGCGGGGCTGCGGCTGGGGACGGGGAGGGACCGGCGGCGGTGCCCGGCTGGCACCGGGAGCGCTCCTCGGGAGCTGGATGGAGGAAGAAAAACAAGCTGTGGTGGCCCGCGGTGGGAGGGCTGGGGTTGATGCTGCTTTGCTGTACTCTGCTGTGTTACAACTTCGCAGCTGATAAGGGGTGTTTTGTTTTCACTCGTCACCTTTGCACGCTGGAAGAGCGCATAAAAGCTGCTGCCTGATGGGGTAGGGGTAGTGGCAGCCTTTGATTGTTACAGTCATTCAGAGTAGTTAGTGAGTTATGTTTCTGGTTAATTCACCTAAAATGTCCCTGCAGAAATTGTCAGAGGGGCATTAATACTGCTTTGGATTTTTTGTTTGCCTGCTTATGTCTTTAATCTGTCAGGGTTTAGTGGAATTGTTTGATCAGAACATGATTGTTACTCAGAGGGAAGTTTTAGACAAATAATGTGTCTGTTAATTCTGGTACAGATTGGAAAGAATTGCAGTGGAAAGGCAGCTGCTTGTTTGCCACTCACTCTAGTGGGTGTGAACACTATGGGAATCCCACTCCACCCATTAAAAACTGGCTTAGCTCAAAATCTTAATGTTTCTCTGGCTTCTCTAGCATTTCTGGTTGTCAGGACATATTCACACAGGCCTGTTTGTATATCAAGATAGCTATTGCTTAACTTATTCTGGGCCCTTTAAATATACTGCTGTGTGCTAATGTGTCAGTAATGTAGGTTAGTAGGATAACCTCTTAAAGGCTGCCTGTATTAATACCTGTCTGCCTTAAAACCAGGCATTTTTAAGTGGTGGCCTGCATGACAATGATTGAGTACCATCCTGAGTGTCTTTAAAAGAGAATACTGTATTAATCTGAGACATTTCCAGGTTAATATATAGAATAAACCATGTTTTTAGGGTGGTCTGTGTGTTTAATTAGATTAGAAGAGAAGGAGAATGTAATTCTCTGTTGTCTTGGACTTAATTTACAGTTTTTCAAATAGTATCATGATAGAGTTTACTGTATACTTGTGTATCCTGGACATGATGTGAAATATTGAAACATGGGGTGTATCGATGTCATATTTAATGTAACCAGCACTGGGCAGCACCAGTGCAGTTTGCAGTATTTACAGGATGAGCTGAAAGTGTTACTTAGCTGAATTGTTTCTGTTCTGCCTGATACACCTCTGAGACTCTAGGTCTTGCTGACTGTTTAGAAGAGTGAGGTCCCTGAGGCACAGTTAGAGCACTTCAGAGGGCTGTTACAGAAGGGTGCTTGAGGCAGAGAGGAAACCCTGTGCATTCCTGACACTGATTCTGTAAAACTTTACAGTTAGCCGTTGTTTAACAGACTGATCTTGAACATAAACTCGTGTCAGAACAAAAATGACTCAAACTGGTATTTTATTATCTAAAGACTTGGCAGTTCTGTTTATTTCCTGCTGGGCTCTAAGGCTTTTTGCGTATGGGGCTTTACCCATTAATAATGTGTATTTTTGTTACACACAGAGCTCTTTAGCATGTCAAATCCTGTAGTTTAAACTGCCACCACACGTCTTCATATTGACCTTCTAAAGAAAGATGTCACTAATTCATTGGTGTTGTTTCTCTTAAATCGCTGTGGATGTGGATTTGATCTAATTAGCATCCATTATAATGAGGGCTCTCAACAGCAGCAGGTTCTGAAGTGCACTGCACATCTGGGGAAGCCCTTGTACAGGAAGCTGCTGCCAGTGGCCAATTTACACAACAGAAGAGGGTTTTAGTGTATGAATGACTCTTCCTCGGGCTGGCCTGCTGTTTCCTTCCCAGGATCCATGACTGCAAGCTTAATTGCAGCTGTTGATTCATCACCTCGTTACTGGGGTATAAAGTTGGTTTGCTTAGTAATTCAAGTCTTGGGAAAAAAAGCACAACAACAACAACAAACTTCTGCTGCTAGTTTAATTGCTTTGGCCCAAGAGGTGCCTCTCTAGGTTAGTATTTTACCTCTAGCCATCATATTGCAGTTATCAAGAAAAAGCATGTGCTTTGAATGGGAAGAACATTGGTTTGGTTTACAGTGTTCCACAAAGTTTGGATGAACACTAAAATTACCTTGTTTTAAAACACCCTGGACACATTCCTTTCCAAAGAATGCTGCTAGATCAGTGAAACATGCATTAGATCAGCTATTGCTGCTGTAAAGATCCAGAGTTTTCTATGAAGCTGCAAATGAATCTTCTTTTGGAAATTTTGACTCTGTGTTGAAAGTTAATGAATCCTTTATTTTGGTCCTTGAATGAGAGAGCAGTCCATCATGTAAAGGTGAAGGGTTTGTGATGTAGCATCAGAGGGCTTGTAGCAGTAGGATGTGGAGCTGCACTGCCACGAGTGTGGGCAGTGTGGGCACTCCCAGGGGCTGCACTGCAGAGCACCTTCTGTAAATCCAGAATAGTCACAGGGAACAGGGTGGCACCAACACATCCTCCTTAGTGTCTTGTGTGATTTGTCAAGTAAACAAAATCAGATATTTTCTCTTCCATTAATCTTTTCTCTGGTTTAATTCCTGAAGTTGGATGGATCTTGCTTACAAGCAAAAGTAAGGGGTAGATTCTTCCTTGTTTTCTTACTTAGCAGTTCTAAAAGTTGAGCTACAGCAACTGAGAGAATACAGTATTGATACAGAAATACCTTGGATTATTTGTGCACCATGTAGGCCTGTCCTTCATTTGAGGAAATGTTGAAAAACTAATTATCTTCCTACTTTTTAAAAACATCTACTTCACATTTCTATTGTTTAAGATGGCATTAAAGCTGTGTTCAAAGTAGGTACTTGTTTGGATAATGTTTGTTGTGTTAATCTTACATTTTTGAGAAACAGGGAAGTTGGGAAGAGATGGGGCTTGTCTCCTAGAACACTTTTTTTCTCTTTGCCAGGTTCTGATACATGAAAGTTCATTCCACTAATGCTGTTTAAATTCTCTGGAGGAGAGAGGTTGGCTTCCTCGTATTTCTGTAAGAAACTATAAGGCAGTTTATGGCTGAGCTGAGCAGAAGGCACTTCACTGACATGTGAATGGGGAGGATGGCAAGATCTGTATTTTCATCTCCACTCCTTGTTTTATGATGTGGTGTCTTGGAAGGAGAGCTGCTCCCTATTTCTTACTGGTTTTTTTCCCCACCTGAGAGCAGTTGTTGTGCAGAGAGCTTGCTTTGTCTAGAGCTGCCACAAAACCACAAACAGTATTTCTGGAATGAGCAGGAAAGGTCTAGTCAGTGGCCTGTCTTGGGAGTGCTCTGTGTTAAAGCTGAAGAGCAGACCAGCATTTATTTGGGAGCAATAGAAGTTTTTACATTAATAATAGATAAGTTCTAAATTAAGCAAGGGCACCAAGTAAAAAGTTTAAAAGAAAATTTAAGGCTTAACAATGCAGTGTTTTTTGGTTGAAAGACCTGAAGTAATGAATTAAAGGGAATAGATTGCCTGGAGTGTTCTGACAAGCATTAATGGCACTCCTCTAACAAAGCTCAGGCTTCAACCAACAGTTCAGAAGATCTCATTTTTGTGTAAGCAGTGGCATAGGGGTGTTAAATTGTGAAGTTACATTTTACCACAAAAATAGCAAATTATTTACATGTTATTTATACATAACTATAGTGCAGTGTAGTCTTGCCACCACTGTTTGTTTTTGCTGACAAGTCTGATGGTTTGTTGCCCAACAACTCAGACAGGTTTTTCTTTGTCTCCTTTTAATTCTCTCTGAGGTATTGTTGTATGTTTGAAACATTTCCCTCACTAGATTCGTTAGATATGCAGTGATGCTTCCTAAGTTGTAAGGATCTGGGAGTGACTGATCTGCTGCTGTTTAAGTTCAAGTGAGGTGGAGGATCCAGCACTGCAGCTGAAGGCACAGCAGTTTTTTTGATTCAGCAGAACAATTCCTGTAGCAGAAGCTGCCCCTTGTGACTAATGCAGGCTTGGGATATTTATAGATGTGCCTATCCACAGCCCTTCTTCACTCCAGCAGGCAGTCACCCAAATACAAAAGTCTTTTGGAATTAAAGTAAAAAATTAAAATGAGTCCAGCAGTTTGGGTCTGACAGCACAGTGGAATGCAGGAACACGTTGGGTAATAAAATGCTTTCCTTGCAAGGGGGAATGCAGCTTTGGAATCTGTGGGTAGATGCACAGTAAATGAGGAGTTCTTACTATGTTGTGTAGTCAAAATGTTATGTTTTCTATCCAAAATTCATACACTACAATTTCTGGTATTTGCATTGTTGTTCCAGTCTAAATGGTTGTCATCTTTGCATCTTTGTTGCTCCTGTCCTTGGCCAGGCAGGAGAGGAGAATCAGTGTTTGTAGAGGACCTACAAAAGTCTGGTTTGTGGGAGTTTGTATGTGCTGCAGTACTGCCACTTTCATGGCAGAAAAATGCATGTATTCTATTTTTGTTTCCCCTTCTAGGTAAGAATGCTGGTATCTAGCTAGGAGGCATCTTGGAGCTGGTTTATTATTATATTTTTAGGGTAATAAGGCATTTCTTCTTTGAAAATGCCATTATATTTCTCTTGCTGATATTTAATGATAAATCCTTGTAGACTTAGTTCTAAAACTGAGATGGTAAACTAATTCCAAAGAAAATACAGAAAATTAAAGCTCTACTGAGTCCTGTAAGAATATTTTAATCTCTGTAACAGATGCTTCAAAAAACAAAATAAGAACATTATACAGAGCCTAAAAGGCACAGTATGAGAACCATTTTTTTTAAAACTTTCATTTCTGCCATGTTCACTAGGTGTGAGGTTTTTTATTGTTTTGGGCTTTTTGTTTTTTTGTTTCTTTGTTTTTGTTTAGAAGAAATGGAACTTGTATGCAGTTTCTAGTTTGTATATATATATATATACTGTCTTCAGAGTACCGGACTCAAAGTATAGTAAATTAGTGGTTTTTTGCAAAAGAACTTCAGTTGACTGTCTTTAGGTATTGAGTCCACATCAAAATAGCCAGCACTAAACAAAAAACCTGAACAAAACAAACAACAAAGCCAACGAGAGCAACTTTGTGCCACTGTTTTGATCAGTGATTCAATGCCCCTTCCCACCAAGACAGTAAGAGAGCACTGCCCTGGACTCTGAAGTTTTGCACTCTGCCAGTCCTAACAGAAAAGCTGTAGATGAAGTTTTAAAGCTTTTCCAGTTTCTTGCTGGGCTTCAGTTGTAGTTCTGGACAGCTTTTATAAAGTCATTCAACTGCCCCTGCAGTAAGACCACAGTAGGACTGAGCATCATTGTCGTAAAACCAGAGGGTTTAAGACAGAGGTTGGACATATCAAAATTCTTCGTGTGCTGTCTGTTTTTGGATGGAAGCCTTGTCACCTGCCTGGACACACATCCACCTCTGGCATTGTGAGCCTGTGTCCTGGTCAAGTGCAGCGTGTGGGTTACATGGTCAGAGGCTGCTGTGTTGGACACCTTGTTGCCGTGGATGGCACCTGGGTTCTGTCAGCTTGTGTTCTGTGCATGAGGAATCCACAGTGAGGCACGTGTGCTCCTGCCAGCTCAGTGTGTTTATGACCACATTGAGCACTGTCTGCTTTGCTCACACGAATAAAATGCAGCTCAGGTGATGTGACGTGGAGGAGGAGCAGCCTGTGGGGTCCCTCAGTGGCTCTTGGTCAAACCCTGTGTCCTGTCCTGGGCCGAAGGACTGAGACCTGTTCACATCCTTTGCTTTTCACTGTTCCTGTGTTGGTGTAAATGCTTCAGATAAATGCTTTTGGGGTAACACTTTCAGGCAAAGCTAGATAGCAATGATCTTGGAAGTTCATCTTGAGTTGGGAAATTGAGTAGGCTGAGAAAATAGGAATACATTTCTGTATCCAGTCTTATGACAATGGAAATGATTGACTTGGTATTATAAATAAAGTTGATTGATTGTGCTAAGGAAACCATGGACAGTGTACTAGAGGACCACTGTGTCTTACAGGATGGTGATGGGCAAGAAAATGAAATCTGAAGGGATTTTCTTAGTGAGTAGCAAGCTATGCCTTACTCTGTCAGTGTGTTGGGTTTTTTGAGTTTTGGCAGAATAGAACAGGTTTTTCTTGCCTTGAGAACTCTGTTGGAGCAGCTTGATATGTAGATAGCTTGCAGTCTGGCTTGTATCTCACATGCACCTTGTTATTTCCCCCCTGTCCAAACCAGATTATTTGGATAGACACAGACAAACTGGGGAAGAACTTTATCTCCTTTTTTTTGTCGAAGTAATATATAGTTTTAGGTGAAAGGAGGATTTTGTCTCGAGCAACTAAAGTCACAATGTCTCCAGGAATCAGATATGTAAGTGTTATGACTGTTAAAACCCACAGAGATATAAAAGCTCCTACATGTTTTTAGTGACAGAAACAGCCTGTGGTGGGCATTAGGGGTCTGTATCTTTTTCTAGACTGCAGTGAGTGTACCTTACAAACAGGGGTGATTTAATGTTAGACTGGTTAGCTGCATATATTGCAAATGGTGTAGTACAGCAGCAAAGACCTTAGTACAGATTCAAGTCCTAGTTGCTTTGAGTTATCTATATGAATTGTATTTACAGCAGTGACCCAAATTGACATCTGTTCTGTTTTAATACAGGAAATGTCAGAATATGTCCATCGTACAAAACAAAGTTTTTGTTTTTATATAAGTTTTCAGAGAGTATTTTCCCCCCCTAATGTTTAGAATTAAGGAGGATCCATTCCCAAACTTTGAGTAATTTGATTCATCATATGACCTTGGGCAAATTATTCATCCACCTTGAGCTTCAGTTTTCCTGGTGGGGGTATTAAGTAAACAATGGGAAACTTGCTGAAAGCTATATTTATGATTGAGTTGAAGCTTACTTGCTCTCTGTTGTTTTGCCTTTTTACAAAAAAGTAAATTTCCATTATTCTTTCAAGTTGGAATTTGAAACATTCACTCAAGAGCTGCTACTCCAAGCTGGAGACCTGATGTTCAAATTAAGAGATTTCAAGTTCCATGCTCTTCTCTAAATGTACATCTCACCTCACCTCATCCTACTCGCTCTTCTGCTGATCTTGCTGCTGTGCTGCTATTTCCATGAGCCATTTAGAAGATCACAGTCTCCAGGGAAGCTGCAGCCTGTCCCACAGATAAAAATAAGACTTTGCTGCTACCTATGCAAGCATTAAACAAATAATGGGTTTATTTGCTGTTACCTATGCAAGCATTAAACAGATGGTGTTCTTTGGTTTTTTTTCCCCAAAGATCAGCTAACTGTAGACTGTTTAAGAAAATAGCAGCAATTAACTGTGAACCAGTCCTTCTGTCCTTAAATCAAAGAATGCTGTTGCCCAGGCAAGTGTATAAAATTCTTCTGATAATTTATGCTGGCCCTACATACAACTTCTTGCTTGAGTGCTGAGACCTTGAGGTTTCCCCTGCTTTTTCTTGGATGAGACAGTTTTCCCCAGGGGTTAGTGGACTGCCTTGTGAAGACTGCAGGCAATATTCAAAGAACCATCCTTGTCTTGAGGTTTGTTTAAACGAGCTGCTTTTCTGCCATCTAAGAGCGCTGTTGTTCAGTGGCCCACGCCTCAGACGGTGGCTCTTGGTGGGGATTCCTCTCATGTGTCCTGCTGGGATTGTACCGAGGGTCGGGAGCTGATGGGGTTTTTCCCTCTTTAAACACTGTGCTGTCGGAGCAGCGGCTCTGCCCTACAGATTTGTCTGCGTTGGTGTAGAGCTCCAGGACCAGCAAAGCACAACTTTTTTAGCAGAATGCACTCGAGGGAAGGAAAAGTTTACAGTTACCTTTGATGTGTGCATGAATTGTGTGTTCAGATGCTTTTGAGGTCAATAGAAAGAACTTTCTCTTTGGAAGAACGCTGGCAGGAAAAGAGGAGTTGAACAAAGGCACTCAGGCTCTGGCTGTAAAACTGTTGCTGTAGCCACTGGTCGCTTCTAGGTGGCACCACGAGAAAAAGAATCTGCATTCACCAGCTGTGAAAAACCAACTGTTGAGCTGACTGGGGCTCTGGTGGTCGGAGTGCAGAGAGGAGCAGCTGGCAAATACTTCAGGAGAAAAGAGGAAAGGAATAAACATGCTCTGCCGGGATAGAACTGGCTGAACTCCGGGTTGCGTATTCCACAAGTGTGAAGCAATGGTCGCTAAGTGACAAATTGGTTTTGCTTTTGTGCCAGAAGTGTGATTGTGTACAAAATTTATATACATAGTTCTTCTCTAAAAGTTATAATCACAAGAGAATCACTCTTTTTGTCTAAATATTTAAATGTGAGATTGCTTTATAAAACAGTCTCACGGAGCAATTATACTGTGTGTACATGGGTCAAATAAAATACAGGCTTTTATTCTTATTTAAAATTTGATTTTGAACATTCTTCAATATTTTTCTCATTTTGAATAGGAAAAATCATAACACATTCCAGTTCACAGTCATTTTTCAACTCTTTTTCTTCTTGGAGTATATGGCAGCTTTTAGTTTTGTCTGAAGGAGGGGGTCTAGGTTTGAAGTAGTGCGTGTTTTTTGAAAGTTTTCCCAAAGAGGTTATAGTGAGGAAGTCATCTCATGTGCTAACTTGGAAAACAAAATGTTATCAAAGCAAAGCTGTAAACTTTTTTTTTCTTTTTCTGAAATGTCTTATTGAGAGCTAGACAATGTCCTGGTGAGAAATAAAAATCCAAATCTGTGAAACATTGAACTACATAATTAAAATATTCCTTTTTTTTTTTCAGCAGCTCCATGAGACTGTGAAAAGAAAGCTCGACAGTGCTGCTTCCCCTCAGAACGGAGACCAGCAGAATGGCTATGGAGACGTATTTTCTGTGTCCAAGAAGCTGCGTCGCGATGACGGTCTTGGAGTGAGTGGTTCTTCCAATGGAATGCCCCCTGTGTCTCCACTCCATCATCTTGACAAGAAATCTGGCAACGGAGATACCTTACAACTTAACGGGAAACATCCCATGGGGCTGGATGGCATCAGCAAGAAGTGTCTTCCAGATTCCAGCCTGCAGATGAATGGAGGTGGCGATGCTGATGATTCATTTCCTCTGAGTTTGAACAAAGAGTTGAAGCAGGAGCCCGTAGACGATCTTCCCTGTATGATTGCTGGAGCAGGGGGTTCTATATCTCAGAATAACTTGATGCCTGATCTAAATCTAAATGAGCAAGAATGGAAGGAACTTATTGAGGAGCTTAATAGATCAGTGCCTGATGAAGACATGAAGGATCTCTTTAATGATGACTTCGAAGACAAAAAAGATGCAGATTCTTCAAATTCAGCTGCACAGACTCCATTGGCACAAGATATTAACATAAAGACTGAGTTTTCCCCAGCACCCTTTGAACAAGAGCAGCTGGGATCTCCCCAGGTTAGATCCACTTCTTCAGGTTCAGCATTTATTGGTGCTGCTTCTGTACCTGTAAGTGCCGCTTCTCCAGCGGTCGGTAGTTCTCAGGCTATGTTCCAGCCTTCCACTCGGTCAATGACTGAAAATCCTAATCAGCCCATGATGCAGGCATCAAACCACTCTCAGAACGTCCAGAGGCCTCTCCCCAGTGTGTTGTTACCTGGGAAGGGTCCAGGAAGTGCCAAAGAAATGTCTTCTGCTCATCAACTTCAGCAGATTGCTGCCAAGCAGAAGAGAGATCAGATGTTGCAGAACCAGCAACAAGCTTCACAAGTCCACCAAACGAATCAGATGTCTACGTGGCCACAGTCTGGGCCTTCCCATAGTCCACTGGCTGTCCCATATACCATGGAAAATCCCACTAGCCCATCAGTTTATCAGCCAGACTTCAACAATCAGAAACTCATGATGCCTAATTTGGGAAATAAAAGCTCGCCGAGAGCTGGAGGCAATTACCATGTGAACATCTTGGGTCATCAGCAAAACAGCTTGAACCAGAACCCTGTGAATAGTCAGGGCTCTATGCTGGACTATGGGAACACCAAACCTCTTTCCCATTACAAAGCAGAGTGTGAGCAGGGGGTTGCAGTCCCTGGGCAGAACAAGACCCCCATGCTGGCCTACATCCAGCAGCGGCAGCAGGCACCGCTGTCCCACGTGAGCGACGAGCAAAATGGGATGATCCTGTTGAAACCCAAGCCTGGAAACATTGCCTACCGACTGCCACACAGTCAGGTGAATGTCCTGGGGTTTGTTACCTTTGTTCAGTAGCAGATTTAGGGTCATTAGATAGGTAAGGTACAAACTACTTGGTATGGTTTCAGATGTTTTCATTGATTTTAAAGAGGAAAATCATAATACACGATAAGCTGAGACAAGAATCATGAAGTCTGTTTTCCATGGGGGGCAGTTTTTAAAGCTGGGTTCTGGGTCATGTGGTAACGTGTGATTTCCAGTTTAATATGCTTTGTGGGCAACAAATTATGTTGTGCTTCACAGAAGCTTCTACTTACAAAGATAAATAGATGCTTTGTAAACTTTTGACTAAAATAACTCATGTAAAACTGTAGTGTTGAACAGTGTTCTCAAAGAAGCTTTGATTTCTTTACCTTGTTTTCAGTCCCTACTTGTGTCAGAGTTGGCTTGCTATAAAAAGGCCTGCTTTTGAAGAGAGGTGGAAGTGGGGGCTGCGTTCCTGATTTCTTGGGTGTTCTTGGGGCTTTTCAGTTCCAAGAATTTGTTATTGGTTAAGTCTCTGGGGATTGGGGAAGCATGGGATAGGAGAGAAATATATAATTAAGAATGAATAATAGTAATATTTGTCTGCTTGAAGCATATGCTTCAGGTTTTCCTGTAAATGAAAATTCCAGATGGTGCTTCTTTGCTGTGTATATAACTGATACTACAGGTATGCTGCAGGTGAAAATTTATGTAGTGGGTGGAAGTATAAATTCATTGGGATTGTGTAACGTGTTCCTGCAATGCACACACAAGGGGGCTTGTTGAGGAAAAAGGTCTTTGTTACAAGGATTAAAGCTCCTCCAGCAAAAGCTGTTGGAGATGCATCTTTAGTCATATGTTCTCTCAGCAAAACAAAAAAGCTGTGAAAAAGATCTGATTAGTCTGTGATAAAGACCACACTGATGTACAAATAAAAATTTGACATCAATGTGTAGTTCATAAAGTACAAAAAAATCTCTTTAAAAGCTGGCAGAAGTAACAGTCTTACAACATTTTGATGGAAGAAGAAGGAGGGTGGAGATGATTGTGTGTCACATCTCCCCCTCACTGGAAAACATGAGGGTGACCTTGCATCTACACTGTCACACTTGCACCAAATTAACAGAAATACTGATGAAAGCTTCTGGAGAATTTCTCAAAAGCTTGCACATAGAACAACTTAGCACAGCATTACTTATATTTGGCTCATGATTTCTTATGAAACTGCAGAGTGAGAACCAACAGCCAAACCCATCAGCTGAATTCTGAACTTGAAGGTGGTATTTATTTGTGTAATTAGAGGTGAGGCTGAACTGTGCTTAAAAACAATGAAAACTGTCAGATTTCAAATGGATTTTCTGATACAAAGAGGATAGTACCAGATCTTGAATGATAATCATTCCATGTTATTTTTGGTTCTCCCAAGTTCCAGCCTCAAAAAAAAAAAAATAGCAGACTTAATGAAAAATTAATAATATCAGGCCTGTCTCTAGTAGTATTTTTGTCTGTGAAATACAGTGATGGTTTGATTGCTGGAAAAATATGTTAAGACCCATTTTGACGAGTGAAAGCCTTCTCCCCTTCACCTGAACATAGTAAATGCTCTGATACTAAAAACCAGCAACATTAGGAGGGGCAACAAACACTTGTTGAGTTAAATGTTGACAGAGGAGGCAGGATTTAAATAAATGCTTTATATAATGAAAGTTTAAAATTTAGTGTTTGAAAAGCTGCTGCTAAAGTAAACTGAAGCTGGTGTTTTTGAAATACCTGGCTGAGCAGAAGCACACAGAGCTACACTCACCTGTCTGAGCTGGAATTTGGGAAGTACTTTGAGATGGAAGTTAAAGCCTCTATTCCTAGATGTTATGGAGCTTCAGACTGTAACTCTGAACTCTCAGTTCTGTGTCTGGCACTGTATAGATGGGTGTTTGGCTGTCTTTAATTAGCAGAACTTCCATAACAAGCTTCACAAGTGGGGAAGCTGTTGCATTTCTGTAACTCTGCCACTTTTCCTATATTCTGCAGGATCAAAACCCTTCTCCTAACGTTCCTCGCGTTCCCGTCTCTGTCCCGGGCCCTGGTGTGGGTGCCCAGGCTCCAAACGTCTCCATGGCAGGTAACCACAGCAACTCAGCTTATCTCAGCAATCAGCAGCAAGCAGCAGTGATGAAGCAACACCAAATGCTGATGGACCAGCAGAAGCAGAGAGAGCAGCAACAAAAGCACCTGCTCATGGAGCAACAGAAGCAGCAATTCCTCATGGAACAGAGGCAGCAGCATTTGCTGGCAGAACAGGTGAGAGGGGCCAGCAGTCTGTTTTTTTAATTTGTGCTGATTTGCTTTGGTGCATGAAAGAGCATTTGATGTTTTAGAATCAGAGAATGGTTTGGGTTGGAAGGGACCTTGAAGATCATCCAGTTCCAAAGCCCCTGCCATGGGCAGAGACACCTTCCATAGCCCAGGTTGCTCCAAGCCCCGTTCAGCCTGGCCTTGAAACACTTCCAGGGATGGGGCAGTCCCAGCTTCTCTGGGCAACCTGTGCCAGGGCTTCACCACTCTTACAGTAAATCATTTCTTCCTAATATCTAACCTAAATTTAACCTCCTTCAGCTTAAGGCCATTCCCCCTTGTCCTATCACTACATGCCCTTGTGAAAAGTCCCTCTCCAGCCTTCTTGTGAGCCCCCTTTAGGTACTGGAACGTGCTCTAAGTTCTCCCTCCATCAGCTGTCCATCAAAAACTTTAAGAAAGAAGAAAGTGATACAGTCTTCTCTGAACTGAAAATATGTGAAAGCCCATTTTTGTGGAGAAGATTGCAGTAGAATCTGCAGGATTGTGGAGCTGTGGCTGTGCCAAATCCTGCCAATGGCTTTTTTATCACCTGGAAATATCCATTAAAATAGAGGACTCAGTTGAGGTGACAGAAAAGCCCCTTCAGTTCTGGAGAGCGTAGGTAAAACATAGTAATGTGTTTGACATTATCTACATTTATAGATAATTGAGTGTATGAGTGAGTATGAGTGTTGGTAAAGGTATGTTTTTGAGATCTGGGTTAAAACTATGAACTAAGGGAATACTGTGGTGGCATTACATTATCAAAGACTGAAAGACAGAGAATGCCCAAATCATCAATATAATAGTATTTTCTGTACAAGTGCTGTGATCTTTGAACTTAGAATACTTTTTGGTAGATCCTTCAGTCTTTGCTGACTTCTGTGTTAGTATCAAATGTCAAAGATGACTAATCATTACTCTCCAGAATGTTAACAAATGAGTATTCTTTGAGAGTAGGTAGGGAGAGAGGAAATATGGGGTGTGACCTCCTGCTTGTGCTTTTGCATCACTGGTGGATGGTGAAGAGCTCTGTTAGAACTCTTAGAGCTGTGGCCCAGTAGTTTCCCTCAGCTCAGTAATGGACCTAACAGGTGTCAGACCTCTCTGAACAGTGAGGTGGTGTAGTAACAGGGTGGTCAAGCACATCTCAAGCACAGTGATGAAATAGTTTTTTCCCTAACTTTTTGCCTCTGTTTGGCCAGCACATGCTGCTGCAGTAAATATCAGTATTATGAAAATACTTCATTCATGCCCTAGTTATGGTAGCTACAACTAACTTCTGTAACTTCCATCTTTGTATAGTGATGCTGGGACTTTGGTGCCAAATAAGGAGCAGTTTTGCTTTGGAGCATTAGATACTGCATTTGCCACGTTTATTGGCATTGTGCTGCCCAGTCAAGCTAGATCTTATTAGCATTCTAATTTGATATTTCTTTCTTTGGATACACACGATACTGGATGTAATTTTACAGAAAGATTTCTGAATTTGTTGATCTCTTTTACAGGAGAATTGTAGTTTCAGGTAGCTTCAGTGCCATTCCCTGCCACTCTAAAGCTATCTTTGCCTTTAGTATTCTGCATTTTTTTTTTCCCAAGCCAGCTTCTACAGTTCTGGGTTTCTCTCAGAGCTATGGCATCTCTTGTTGGCTTCTGTGGTCAGCCTCTTTCAGGTCTGACTGGTCCTGCAAGCAGCAGGTCCTCTCTGTCAGGCAGCCTGCCCTCTTCATTCCTCTGCATGTCTCAACAGCTTCAGAGCTGTAGACATTTCGGGAGGGTGGTAGCGATGTGTATCTTGCCCTTTGTTACATCGCACCAATCTCTTCTCTAAAGGCTTTGTGCTTGTATCCTTTACTCCAGTACTCTTGGAAGGGAATTCCTGCCCCCTTCTGTGCTCTGTGTAACATTTTGGATAAGTAGATGGTTGTGCATTGTATCACTACTTGATTACCTCAGAATTTCAGTCTGGCTGAGGGTGCCTGCAGAAGAAGAGCCAGAAATACTGTGCCTGTACCTTTTATATTGTAACAGTAGCCGGTTGTCTGTAACCCCGTCATTGTCTGAGAGTACTATTAGTGCATCCACATTCCCCTGAGACTTTAAATTTCGTTTTTCCCAAAAGTTCTTAACAGAAAATTTGCTTGGTTTATTTTTCAAATGTTTTTATTATAAAATATGTACGGGTTGAATGTGCTTTTAAAGAGGCACAGTTATTTTGTGACATGAGTTGGCTTTGTTTCAGTTGGTTGGTGCATTGTTAAGAAAGTGGTTGTAAACAATGATTACAAAACTTGTATGACTTCTGTTATGGACTTAGTTCTGCAGTTTTCCATAATCTTCTAGGAAAACCTGTGGTGTATCAGAATTTGGGTTTGTGTATATTTTTTCATGTTTGCAAGCAAGGACTAGAAAATATTTACGTGTTCACTCTTTTCTGTGTTACACTGTTGATATTTCTGACTTGCACTTTTATTGATTTCTAAAGGGAGGTCTAAAATTTGGGGATGAAGAGCAACAAAGAGCAAATTTGGGGATGAAGAGCATTTGGGGATGAAGAGCAACAAAGCATGTGTGGTTTTTTTTTTTTATACACACTGGCTTTTGGTCTTTTTATGTGTGTACCTGTTTTTGTCCTTTAGAATATTTCTAAAAATTACTGATGAAAAGACTAACATCTCAGATTTTCAATTTTTAAAGGGCTTCAGACATACACTGCAATAACTCCTGTAGTGCATGTTGCTGTCTCTGAGTTCCTGGTCTTGTCACTCATCAGATTAAACTGACTGTGTTTGAGCCTTGAGAACAAAGGTCTGAAGTGACTCTAAGGCTGCAGAGGCCCTTTTGGTTACCAGCTCAGCGTAAAAGTATGCAGATCACTTGGTTTTATCCAAGATAGCCCTTGGAAAAAGCTTGACATGTTTTTTGATTGTCCTGCGTTGGACCTTTCTTAGGAGAAACAGCGGCAGCAGCAGGAGCAGCAGCTGCAGCGGCACCTGACTCGGCCTCCTCCCCAGTACCAGGATCAACCACAGAATCCATACCAGCAACAGGTTGGACAGTTCACAGGTGAGTAAACACAGCAATTGAAATAATGGCAGAAAAAATATCAGGAGTAAAAAAACAAGCTGTCTTCAAATTACCTGGATTGGATAGCTTTTAATTAATTTATTACAGTGCCTTCCCACGTCACTGTGCCTTAAAACCTTTTGACCTGTACTGTGATTCAGTTGCAAATCAACAGCTTCCCCTGCCCCAGGTATCTGGGACATCTTAAGCTTCTGCTTCTTAAATGTTGTTTTGGAAATGAGTAAAATTCTTAAGTCTTCATTGTTCTGAAGGCCTTTTTATACTACTGGTTCCTTTTACTGGTTGTAAATTCTTCTTAACTTTGATATATTAGGATTCAGGTTTGGTTTTTTTTGAAGCCTGACATCTCTACTGCCTGTACCTATCATAGGCCCTCATTAAAGAAAAATAAGTGGTGTATTATTTCTCTCATCTACTAGGATGAGTTTAAAATTCTCTGACATTCTTCTCCCTGCTGCCTTTAGAAGGGAATGCAGTTTGAATTCTCTTCATTACTTTTTAGTGTCCTGTGTGGGGTTTTTTTGCTCGAGAAGCAGCTTGGTATCCTCAGTATATTAATTGGTAAATAAAAAATGTTGTTAACTGTTAAGCTGGAGTAGCTTCAAAAATGTGGAAGAACTAGAGAACAGTAAAAGCTCATCTCCTTACCTGAGAAATCCTTACTTGACAAGGCATCAAGAAGCCACTTGTCTTTTTTCGTAAACTTAGAGTACAAAGAAGTGCTAATTCCCTTCATTTTGTTTCCTTACTCTCTGTGTTCCTGCAGAAATAAATACTGAAGGGAAAAGATGCAAATGGAAATGTGATACCTTCATCCTGACAGTGTTTGTTACTGTGCAGTGTCTGGTAGAGCTACAACTGCATTTTGTTACTCAAGTGAAAAAACTTGATGCCAGTACAAAAGGACTGTGTGCTAACTCAGGGATCAGTAGCATCCTTCAAATATTGCACTGAAACATTTTTTTTCTCCTATCACTTTTCTACAGAAACATAGTGTACAACTGTTAGAAATAGAGTGGGATTTGCTATAATGAAAATCAGTATTACTGAAATTATTTTTTCCTTATAATGATGACTGGTTTTTGCCTCTTAAATCCCAGTATGTGACTACTTTTCACTGTAAGTATTCTTACAGTGAAACTCTTCCTCCACTCATCCACCCCCCAACACTGGTGTTTTTATGATGTGCTGTGCTGATAATTAATTCAGTATAATTTGAATTATATTTGAATTTTTGATAATTCAGTTTTTATTCAAATATAATGTTTATAATAATGGAAACCCAATACTCCTCAGCTGTCTTAAAATATGCAAAAATTCTGCAGCTTACTTTTTGGTTTGAAAGTAGAGAAAGTACTAATGTAGGTAGATTTCCCTTGGTCGACTGTAAGGAGTGGGAGGGGTGTTATATGCATTACACTTCACAGTGCTGGTCTACTTTTTTTGCTTCAAGTAGGGGGGGCTGTTTCTTCCACAGGAAGAAACTTCTAAACTCAGGATTTACGAGAACAGGGGACTTTTTTTGTTTTGCTGAGAATACATTTTTGCAAATCACCTTGCTTGGTTATCAGCACTGTGTATTAACACAGCAAATATTTCGCTGTGGAAATCCAAAAGATACCTGACCAAAAATTTCTGAAAGCTGAATTATATAAATAGAAGAAATTCCTGGAATAGGGAAAATGGAGGACTGGCAACCCTGCAGGTGTACAATAAGAGATACACAGTGTATGCATGGAATGACTGACTGTGTGTGCAGTAAGTGGTATTTTTAACAGCTTAGCAAATTGTGCATGCACTTCAAAGTATGTGTGTTTACCTTTGTTCACAAAGAAATACCAGAGTCCTGCCTTTAAAGTCTTAATTTTCTTTTAAATCGATGATGCTGAGCTCTTAGAAGTGGTATTCAGATTTTTTTAGGACATTGGCATATCTGTGTTTGAGATCAAGGTGGAGGTGCTAACTGGAGCAACAGTTGACACTCTTTAATTAAACTCCTGCTGCCTGTGTGCTGGTTGCAGAGGTTGGTTTATACAAATGCAGCTGCACCTCCATTCTGGGTTATTGTGCCTACAAGCCTGGCTTGGTTCTGGTTGGACCGAGATATTTAATGTACAAAATACTTCTTTGTATTTCAGGGTCATCTTCAGCCATGCCTGGGGTCAGTAATTTAGGACAGTCCAGCTCCAGTAGCCCACGGATGTTTCCTCAGACCCAGAACATGATTCAGATGGGACCTGGACACACTCCTGTTCCTCCACTCCAGTCGGGCTCCAGTCAGCAGGACCGGGGGGTGACTCAGTATCCCAATATGCAAAACATTCAGCGCGGGGGATTGTACAACCTGGCGTCTGGAATGACACAGATGGTTCCCCAGCACACAGCTCCAAGTGCCAATGGACAGACTCCAATGCAGAGGCAGGGCAGCTTGGGCCAGGGCACTGCTGTTCCTGCTGGCTATGGGCAGAACACCTTAGCAAACTCAAGTATTTCTCAGCAGCACAATAAAGGTGCACTGAATCCAACCTTGTCTAAGCCACAGATGGCAAGAGTACCAGCTGCTATGGGGGCTCAAAATCCATCTTGGCAACACCAAGGTATCCCTAATATTAACAACCAGACACAAGCAAACAGTGGCTTAGGACCATTTACTGCCAACTCCTCTTTCCACATGCAGCAGACTCATCTAAAGATGTCCAACCAACAGTTTGCCCAGGGAATGCCTCAGGTAAGCCTAAGCACCAGCAGACCCATGACCTCGATGAACGCTGCCGTCTCTGGGCAGATGTTGTCATCATCTTTAGGTGCACAGCCCCGGACAAACCCACCTACACAGCAGCAGGTACCCTCACAGCAAGTGCTGCCTGGCATGAACCAGACTGTTCCAGACCTGAATGCTTTCAACCAGAATCCAAATCAGCAAATGCCCAACAGAGGAAACCTGCACTGTAGCCAAGGGTACCCTGTGAGGACAACCAGTCAGGAGCTGCCTTTCTCCTACAGCGGCCAGTCGGGCAATAACGGACTTCAGAACTTAACTGGTGACACAGACCTGATAGACTCTTTGCTGAAAAACAGGACTTCAGAGGAGTGGATGAACGATTTGGATGAGTTGTTAGGAACTCATTAAAATGGGGCCGGGGGTGGGGGTTCTACTTTTTTTAATTATTTCATGACATATAAACAACACTTGGACCAAAAAAAAAAAAAACAACCTGTGGCATTGAGGAGACTTGCAGGCATTAGAGGTAAAATGGTTGGGAAAAAGACTGGAGCTGCTTCTCAATGAGTGTTGACACACGGTCACGGTGCACCAAGCGGGTCTGTGGGAGGAGTGCACGTTATCTGGGGTCTCTGAGGAGTCGCACACTTGAACAGGTCAAAAAAATACTGTGTCCTAGCCAGCCTTCCAGAAATCTCACTTGCAGTGTTCTAAGAGTAAATTTTTTAATTATTTAAAAAATAAAACAAAAATTCCACAGAAATAGTGCAGAAAGAAAGCAAATAGTTGCACAAATTGTGTTTAGGGCTTAGTCTGCAGCTATTACTTGCAATAATTATTTGTTTGTAGCTTGACATGTTGTTATAGTACTGTCCATCCAACTTCTGACTTTTTATTTGAGAAGAGGCTGTTATGCACCTGAGCACGCTTGCAAAATGTTTGGACTTGTTTCTTTTCCCCGTTGCTGAAGCATGTGCCTGTACTCTCAGTAAGCAAGTGGTATTTCACAGTAAATATATCTAGATGCTGGTAATAGATGAGAGGAAGTATTAAAACCTGGCCAGTTAGTCTAGACAGTCATCTTCCTTCATAGATTGTAGTCTTTTAAGCTGCAGTTTGCACTCTGTTGTAGAGAGGCACAGTTCTTGGCTTGTACCTTGCTGTGTTTAAAGGGGGAATTTCTCACGGGAGAACTTTTAAACTATAGTAGGTTTAACGTGAATTGTAAAGCCATTTACTTTGCACCTGTTTCTTCATAACTTATTTCCAAAGGTAGTTGTATTTAAATGAAGGCTTTGCTTCATGACAGCTCATCTAGTTTTCTTTGTTGTAAAAGGTAAAACTAACTTTTGAGATCACTTCATTCCCCGAAGTTAGCAATGAGTTAGTAATGAGCACAAGACTTTGTCACTTCAGGATAAAAATGAGGAAAAAAGAATTTGGCTGGGAGGTGGAAAGTCCTTATGAGCAATAATAGCACAGGCAGCCTGGGAGAATAGTTGTATCAGGGTTGCTCCAATATGGAAGTCTCCCCCTTTAAATACTTCGGTTTTTTAATACTGGGTTACGAGTTTGATAATCTTTCTATAGTCTGGTGGATTTACTTCTTTAATATCCCTTGAAGCAGATGCTGGTTCTTCAGCTCAGCCCAAGGGGATCTCTTATCCATATGTTGGGATTGGTCCCAGAAAGGACAAAACACAATGGGAACAGTCAGTGTTCCAAAGTCCTTACTCTCTACCAAAAAAATCCCTTATCCACCAACAAACCACCTTGCCTTAACCTTTATTTTAAAAAGAAAATAAAGTTGAAAGCTTTTGTTTGAAATGCACAAATACCTCTTCCCTTTCTAAATCTACTTTCTTGGAAAGCTCCTTTAAACTTTCTAACCAAACCCAGCGTTGTGATTTTAAAGCAATTTCCTTCAACATAGACTGGCTTCTTCAGGAGTTTTCTGCACTGCAGAATTGTGTGAGAGAGGGTTTTTCCAGAGGGTGTGAAGGGAAGTGAAAGATATCATTGGTTTCAAAGAAGGAAAATATTTTACTGTATCTGCAGCTCCTTTATGAGACAATTTGCACTTTTAAAAACTGCTTTTTTAACACTAATACTTTAACCCTTTCCAAATATGCATGGAACATGGTTTGTGCAGCACACTTACCTAGTGTGGATGAATTCTGCTCTGTTGATCAGATTTGCTGTTGTATCATGTTGAACTGTTGGTGAAAGATGTGCATTGATCAGTGGATCCCACCGTTCAATAGTGGATAAAACTTCCCTGAAGCAGGCTTAATCCCTCCTAGAGCTTTTGAAAAGGTAACATAAAGATTCTCTTTGGATGGGAAGACAGAGGTGTTGGTGACTTTGCTTGTTGACACTTCTGATATTTTCTAGAATAAGTAGTTGAGATGCAAATAACTGATGCTAACTCTTCTTATACTGGCAATCTAAGAAAAGAGCTAGTGATCTTGGTTTACTTTTAAGTTGAACCAAAACCTGGTCCAAGGTAAGTGTCATTAGAAGATTATAGATATAAACTAGCAATGGCAGGGGAAGGAGTGTTTGCTGTATTTTTATTTTTAAGGGTTAACTTTGCACCAGTGTGCCTTCCCTTCCTGTCGGGGGTGCTTGGGACCTCAATTTCAAGTGACATCCTTCAGTGTCACTAGTTTTCTCTCCCCCTTACAAACACTTGACAGAAATAACAGGGTAGTAGGATTCAGCTTTTCTTTCTTCCCTGTTTAGGTTGTGGTGAAATCTGCTCTGTTTTGTGGTAGATTTTGCACACAGGCTTTGTTTGGAATAAGTCAAAATACAATCCATCCAGTTGTGATTTCTTAATTGGAGGAAAAGAACATCTGCTGTTTGCATTGTTACTACCAAAAAGGCAATCCAGCTAAATGTCCAGGAAAATGCAGATGTGCTCTTTCCTTCACTGTTTCTGGAAGCTAAGGTGGATATTGCCCTGCTTGACCAGAGGGTTTGTTCAGGAAGGTATCTGGATTTGATGACAGGGCCTTTTCATGGTACTGTTGGAGTAAAATTAAAAGTGTGATTCAAGGAAAACTGGCTTATAATGCCCATTGGTCTCCATGTGTGAACAGGATCCAAACAGCCCTGGCTTCTGGCCTTGGTCCCTGTCCACATAACGCAGTCGGACCGTTGGGAATACGGTGTCACTGTAACAAGGTTGGAACAGTTCAATGGAAATGAAAATACGGTTTTGATGTGCACAGGTGCATGGGAAGGGCTGGGCTCTGCCCTCATGCCCTGTAACAAGTCTGTAAATGCACTTGGGCTCTCCATTTGCTGCAGCTTCAGAGCAATAAAATGTGTCTCCCCTGAACTGAACCCAGCCGGCCGCCCATGGCTTTATTTATAAACTGCGGTTTTGGTTGGGCAGGCAAGGTGAGAGTGTCACTGTGCAACATCCACTGCCTTCCAAAAACCACCATACGATTGAAAAGGGTGCTCAAAATTTTGTTATACACATTTCCTTTGTGTAAATAAATGTTTACAATTTTATATTAAAGATTTGAATAAGAGTTAGATCTTCTGACTGTATATTTTTTACTTTTTATAGATTTTAAAACTATAATTCTTTATATATGTGTTTTGGGGGGTATTATGGTAAGTTTTATGCTTGTAAATGGAGAACAGTTGAATTTGATGCTAACCTTTATGAATTTTTTGTCATTGAAATGTATAAAGAGTCCATTAATCCCCTTATTCTTTTACTACAATTACTGGTGCACACCAAAAAGAAATCCTTCACTTCTGTTTTATCATTATAAAATAAATATTTTGCTAGTGTATTAAACATACATGGTGTGACTTTATACATTTGTGTGAGCTGAGCAGAGTTCAGCATTTTCACTCCTAGTGAGATGGTTCCTTCCCTTCATTTCAACACACAGTTTTGCTCAGCTCAAATTCTGCTGCTGTGTCTTACCAATTCTTACAGTTTCGGAAAGTCCATTTAAACAGGCCAGAACTGGATAAAGGGGCCTTAGAAAACTTTAGTTTGAAAATAAGGCTTTATGCTGCACCCACTGCTTCCGGCTTTTTTTTTTTTTTCTGGAATGCAGTTGTAGACCTTAAGCTGGGAAATTCGGCTGCAGAGGTGGTTGTTACTGGTGAAAAAGATGTTAATAACTACCGAGACCTCACATGTGCAAAATGGTAGAGTTCCAAAAATATGCCAATTCCCTCAAAATAACAGGCCTTCAAGGTTCAAACTGGTTTCCTCAAGCCTTGTTTGATGTAGGCAGATGGCACACACAGAAATCCAGCTGAGACGGGGGCTCACATTCTGCAGGCATGAGTTGATGTTTCTGAACAAGGAATGAAATACTGGCAGAAATGTGTGTGAAGATTTTGGCTTGAAGCTGGAAAAGTCCCTGAGCCACCGCACGGCTTCAGAATTGAAGGATCATTCCCCAGGTGTTGAAGTTGGTGTCTTACTGTGCAGGTGTTGTGTTTGCAGCCCCAGCTCGGAGCCTTCAGGTTTCCTCACAGCACCCTGACTTACCAGAGTGTATTTTTTAATATATTCCTGCTCCACAAAGTTTTGTGTTATGTTTGGAGGGAGGAGGAGACCTATAACTTCATAAGCTTATAAAGAACCAAATATCGTAATAACAGTACCAGGATCAGCTGGTTTTAACCTGTGGGGAACTGTGAAGTTACTGCTTAATTAACTTTATTGTCCCATTAAAAATGCTGCATTTCAGTTATTGTTGAGTAAACCAGGAATGTCCCAAGCAATCCCCACTGAAGTGACGTGTGTGTTTTTCCAAAGATTTTAAGGAGTCAGTGGCAGCTCGTGACCAACTCAGAAACTGATCTGATGTTTTTTCCTCAATGCTGGTGTTTTTCCTGAGACTAATGTAATAATTCTGTAATGGAAGTGTTTTCTCAAGCCTGAATTGCTTGTTGAACTGGCATAAGCAGAAACAGAACTCCTGGTGACATTTCCCCTCTGAACTTATCCTGGACACCCCAGGTGAAATCTTGGGTCACCAATAGGTTCAGTTAAGGTTAATTGTTTTATTTCAGTCTGAGTCTGGGAGTCTGAAGTCACATCATATGAGTGTTTTATAGAGAAAGGGAGTGGTTTTGCTTTTTTACATGTGTGGTTGTTCACAAAAAGTGTAACACTGGATATTTGAATTCATTAATAAGTTTTCAACTTGATGAGCTGTCACAATGGGGTTTTGAGGCGATGAAGAGCCAAACCAGAACAAAAAACTTGCTTTGTCCCACCCAAGAGAAACGATAGGTCTGGTATGTGCATAAATTCTGCACTGAGGGTTTGTGTATGTGACTGAACAGAGAAAAATGCAGTGGCTCAGCCATGTCCTGTGCCCTCTCTTCAAAATGAACAGAAAGCCTTAGTTGATTTTACAAGTTTTAAAGTCAAAGTAGTCATCCATATGAAATTGCTCCAAAACACAAGATAATGTTTTGAACTGATACATATTTTACTTTTGTGGAGCGGGGAAAGAAGTTACTCAGTGCTAAAATATTGCTGGTTTTCAAATTTTATGTTTTACAATTCTGATGTCAATGTAACATTTTTGAGGGTCTATTTCTACATCCTCTGCTGCCTTCCATTTGGAACTGAGAACTTTTATTTTGTATGATAGCCAGGAAAAGATTTGTACTGCAGAATCTTAAAAACATCAGAAAACTGCAAAAGGTGAGTGAGTGCTAGAAAAGAACTTTATTCTTATTTGGTAACCTTAGAGCAGTAATTAGTAGCATAAAATACCTGAATGCTCTTTTCAAAGTTACAGAACCCAGTAGCAGAATTAACTTATTCCAGCTGGAGTGCAGCAAATCTTGAACGTGGTCAACTCCACTGCTTGGAATAAGAACAGAAGGTCAAGTCATTAATTTTCAAATGCTTGTTAATAATTTTTACAACCTCTCACATAATTGAGATGCTTCAGAGCTCATTAAAACCAGCAACAAAAGGGCTGGAAAGAATTCCATCATCTTTCCATTGCTGGCAATGTATAATTCAGTCGTCATTTAAAATCTGTAAATATAATTACAAGAATTTCACAGTTTGCCCATGCAAAGGTTTTTGCTGTTCCATCTTCAGCAAAAGGCACTTGGCTGGAATAGACATTTTCTGGTGGCTGCCTGCTTTGGAAAACCCTGTGGTGTGGAGAGAGTTAAGGTGAGTTGAGGTGTGGTGGAGGAAACACCTGTGTTAAGGGGAATAACTCAGTTCTGTTGGTGTGTGGTATTGGGAGGGTGGGAGAGAGGTTTGGGCTGCAGCTGTACCCATCACACCTGGCTGGGGTTGGCTCCAGTCAGCACCATGAGGGATCAGATAGACCAGCTGGCCACCATCACGGTTTTGGGAGTCCTGGAGCAAGGTAAATGCCCTTTATACAATGCTCGGTAGTGTTGAGCTAATTATGTTAAACTTTGAGAAATGTGGTTCCTGTATTTTTCTTGGAGTCTCTATGGAGTGAAAGCTGCTGTTTTCCAGCATGGTAAAATGATACAAATGTTTGGCCATTCGTGGCAGAAGTGTCATGCCTGAGGGTGGTCGTTATTTAATAGGGACTAGAATGATCTGCAAACCTCAAAGCCAGCAAGTAAAACTGTTAGGCTTAAAACGATTTCAGTAGAATGTTCTTAAAGTAAAATAGTTTGTGCTTGAATTTTAGCAGGCAGTATATAACTTGGAGTGGCTGGAGGTAGCCAAAATGAAGGCAGGTTTATGAGTGTGCTGATGAAGAGGTCGGTGTACAGAGAAAAGAGCCTCATGCACACAGGGACCAATATCATCATGTGTCCTTCCAGCTTAACTGCACAGAGCAGATGATGAGATGAACTGACAGTACAGTAATTTGGAAACTAATGCAAGCTCTTCTGGTCAGAAATAGACACAGACATCTTCAGAGGAACTCACTGACTTCTCGTGGTATAAATAGGTGCGTTTAGACCTTTTAGAAAGAGCAGTGTTGTTGCCAAGCTCTGTTTAATTGTGGGTCCTTTGGGCAAAGTCTCTCCCCCTTAGGCTTCAGGAGGTTCATGGAAGGGGACACTCCCCTGCCTGGATGGGGACAGAGCCCCCATTATATTGAAATCTTCAGATTTCTATAAGGGAAGGTTTGTGGGTTTTATTATTACTGAATTAATTCACCATAGAGCTATCACACCTCTGCTTACAAATGGATGTGAATCTCTGAGCAGCCTCATGTATTTTTAGCCATCAGATGATAAATCTCTTAGTATAAGTATTATTTAAAATACAAATATGCAACTTGAAGAACAGAGTTCAAGATTTCTGACATCATAATTTCCACTCAAACAATTTAAAGGGAAATATCTGCAACTACAAATGGAAGATGCTTCTATATTATGAATTTTTTTGTTATTAAACTAAGTGGGGGTGAGGGAGCATTTAGTATGCAAAGATAAGACATGAAGAAAACTTTAAATTGAGTTACAGAAATGCTGCTAAGCCCTTTTCCTTTGGGAACCGTTCAGTAGCAAATCCCTAGATAGCAGTTTTGTCTCAAATATGTCTCTTTTATGGGAGCTTCAGGTACTTTTTTTAAAGGTCGAAGCCTTAGGCATTTTGCTTTCATGCTATGCAAACCATACCCAGGTGTGAAGCCAGCAGATAAACAGCAAGCATTGCCACCCTCCTATCTGTGTTAGATTGGATAAAGTATCCTGGTTTATGGTCCCTGCATGGGAAGCCAAGGAGCAATGGCAAAATACTATGTGTTTTCTTTCTATCTACTGGTATGAAATACATGTTGCTCGTGTCACTGTGAGCCAGAGCTGTGCAGTGGCTTTCCTTGCATGTTTTGAGGGGACATTCTGTAGGTGAGTTACAGATCTGGGGTTCATTCTGAGCAGGTGAGCATTGAAGCACAGAAATGGGCTGTACCTATGAATATTCCTCCATCACATCCTGGTGTAGGAGATGCAGTTTAATGGCTGAGCTTAGTTACAGCATTGGTTGATTGTTATTTTTTCTTTTGAATTTTCTACCCCACAGATATGTGCCCCAGCCCTGTGGTGAACACAGTACCACACAGCAGAATTATTCTATACCAGGTTTCCCCCCCTCCTTTATTTTACTTCAAAGGAAAGGAAGCTTATGCAATGTCACTGTCTGTCAGGCCCCACAGGGCTTGTTTGCCATGTTCACTCAAATGTGGCAGATAACAGCTATGATATGGTTTGACAAGTGTGTGGACATAATCAAATAGAGAACGAAGAATATTTCCACCAAGGAGCAAAGTTCAGGGAGAGCTCAGTCCCTGTAAACCACATGGGAATCCACACAGGTGATTAAGCTCGAGACATGAATCACAAAAAAAATGGTTTGAAAGGATCTACAGAGTAGGTTGAACTCTTTCTCTCTGAAAGTCCATGCTGAGAAGGCTCGTGCAGTGTGGGTTTTATGAACACATCATTCTGAGAAGTGCTTTTGGGGACTGATTCTTCCCAAAAAAGAAGAATCTCCCTTCCGTGCTCTCTCAGCACCTCTCATTTAGGGCTGGATCACTGTGGAAGACACTAGAACATGCTTAATTGTTCTAAAGTGTGTTCTTCAAGGAATGTCTGTGTATTTAAATTACTAAAATGTTGTGATACACATCGTCACATAGCGTCAGATTATTTACATTTCTAATTCCCTTCTACATATGTTCTAATGCTTTTCTGCAGGCACACATCTTGTCTTTAATCTTGGAACATCTGTCCCTACTTCCCCTTCTCTATCCTGCTGTTCTGCCTTTATCTTTGTTACAATGAGACAGTCCACAAGGCAGGGCTTGCACCCTGGCTCCTTGTCTCTGTGTGATGCCCTGGAAATATTGCTGTGTGAGTTGCTATCTGCTCATCCAAGTGTCTCAGTGACACTGCCACAGCCACCAGAGTAATTGTTTTTATAATTTAGTTTTCTCCTATATGAAGTTAGGAGTTTTCAATAAAATCAGCAGTGTAGTAGTGCACCTAAATAAAAACACTTGAAGCATCAGCAATCAGCTATGGGAGTAAGAACTTCCAATAAATAATGGAACAGTCCAAATCTTCATGTTTCCATTGTTTTAAAGTGACTTTCCGTGTCCTTTACAAATGTACAAAGAACTGGTGTAGCAGACACCAAGTCAGTGCCTCAGCCCAAACCTGGCACAGCCTCATAGCAGGTATTGGCAGCACCTCTGCTCCTTGAACTGCTGGAGCCTTGGGGCTCCCCTGCAGGAATGAAGGGGAAAAAATAATCACCCCCTTCCCCATTTCCTTTTGTTGCCATGATTATGAACATCTCTAATTGACTTAATGATATCCCAGTGCTTGACAGCTTGGATGCTGCTCTGTGACATGGACCATCCTTGTATAAAGGCTTTGCACCCACTAGGAATGCTTTGCACCCATTAGGAATAGTGGAAAATGTTATATACATCATTCCCATCAGACTGGCAGAGGGTGTATGGATACTCTAAACACAAAATGCAAGATTAAGAAATAATTCTGTGACGGGAATGGACTTGGGAAGGTTTTGTTGTTCTTTGCAGGACCTGCTGTGTTTGTTCTGCTGGGGAGCAGCACCAAGGGTGTGATATAATGCAAAGTGCCATCCAGCTCCAGTGCTGTGCCAGGACAACCAAAGCTGAATTTAAAGTGCAAGCATGAAATAAATGCACATTTATACCAGGTCATGTGTGACAGCCCTGGACATTGGACCCAGATCGTATCGACTCTTTTATTCTAACCACTTGCTTGATTCCAAGCTAGATAAAGCTTTGCTAAACAAACACTGCTGGACTGTTACCATTCCTGTGTTGTTCTGTTTTTAGCCTATTTTGCACTGCAGGTGATCTATGCCCGTCGGAAGTACAAGATCTCCCCTCCTGAAACAACAGGTCACCCTGAGTTTGAACGGATCTTCAGAGCTCAGTAAGATTTTGTCTTTGTTGTGATGACTTTGTCTAGATATGACTTGAGTCAACTGTCACTGTCAGGAGAGACTGGTCACCCTCAAGTCTCCCTTTCACTTGTTGTTACTGATATTAGATTTTTTTTTTCAATGCTCTGCATGCAGAGGTCTGAGTTCTGATTTAGAGCCCTTTGGCTGGGGTGTTTCTGTCCATCCATGATAATCCTCCTTCTGGCACCATGAGGCAGCCAAATTACAAATTAGTGGCCACATGAAAGAGATGTGGAGCATTAATGCTTAGAATCATTAAATTTAATACTACCATTGGCTCCAAATCGTGAGAGCAGCCGAAGATATATTAATAACCTGACATTTGCCTGTAAGTTTTTGCTGTTGAATTGAAGCAAAGGGCCTTGCTGGAAGAACCAGCTACGAGGGTGTTTTAATTTTTTCCCTCTCAGAAGCCATTGTACTGTGAGAGTCAGCCCTGGTGGGCCCATGCTGAGGGCTGTTTCTTTTTGCTCTGTTCCTATGGAGAGAGCAATGCTGGAGCTAAACTGGAAGCATTCACAGATCCCCTCAGCTTCCAGCAAGCACCAGATTCCATCTTTCATCTCAGTCGTTCTGTTTTGTAAGCGATTGAAAGGAATTGGCCGGAGCTGGTTTGAAGGGTAGTTCCAGCACAGCACTAAATGCTGAACAAAGCAGCCTGCATTCCCTTGCCAGTGTGCAGGAAACATTTGTGGAGTGACAAAAACACCCCCTTCAGTCCTTCTGTGGTGCCATGGAAGGCCAGCCTGCATGGAGGCATCAGCCTCACTCTGCTGATGTGGCTTTTAATTAAATACTTTACTATTAAATGTGTGTCGACCAAGTCATGCCATGGGCTGTGGTGTGCTAGGAAGTCCTCTGCTATGATCTGCAGAGAAGGTGACCTCAGGGAACTCAGACTTGAAAAAAGCTATTGCCTCTTTGTGGGTTTTTCCCCTATTTTTCCCTGTGGAAAAGCAAATGGATAATGTTATATATATATATATAAAGGAAAAATGGTATTGATGTATTACTCATTTGACGAAACCTGGCAGCCTCCCCTCCCTGAGGCTCAAACTCCTATTTGCAGCATAGGGTTCTTCAGCCTTTTTCCAGCTCCCAGTTTGGCTCCATTCCCCAGAGGTTGGTAAATTCTTGGCCAAAATTAAGATTAAATTGCCTAAGGAATGGTAAAATGTAGGAGAAACTGAGAACCAAAACGAATGTCTTTAATAGCACAGCTCCTACTGTCCTTTCTTGCAGAAAAACTCTATTTTTTTCACTAAGAGAAAAAGGAAGAGGAAAACCTGGCTGCAGATCTGATCACTTACTGCTGAATTTTATCTGGGAGAAAACTTTCTTGGACTGTGACTTGTGTGACATGCAAATTTGGGTGTCCAAGGGGAAGAGAAATCTCCTTCAATAGTGACAAGGAGCCTCTCCCCCAGCAGCTGTAGGTGCAGCAGCTCTCTGGCAGTGCTATTTGTGGGGCCAGGATAGAGCCTGTCGAGGGTCCAGCAGAGACAAATCTCCACCTCAGCTGTGGCTCGTCATTCCAGGGTTTTGGTTTGCTCTGATGTGTGTTTCCAACTCCCTTCTCTGGCCTTGGTTAACTGGGCTCTGACATATGAAGCAGTTTTAACTCTCATCTCTTGCTCTCACCAGGGCAAACTGCTCAGAGTACTTCCCAATCTTCATTTCGCTCCTCTGGATTGCTGGAATCTTCTTCCATCAAGGTGAGAGGGATGGGGGAAAACCCCAAGCCATGTGCACAAACCAAAAAAGCCCCCCAGTTTAAATCCCACTGCAACTCAGACACTTTCTCTCTGTACCTGTGAGGTCACTATTTGGGGAAAGCAAAGTTCCCCTTTCGCCGGATGGACCAAAGAGCACTTCAACTCCAGCATCCATGAAACTGCTGGGAGAAGCTGAGCCTCCCTCCTGCCTGGAGGAGCAGGCACTGGCAGCCCTTGCTCCTTTGGCAGAACCTGGCTGTCCCATTGTGCTGCTTCTCTTAGATAAGGTCAGGCTGTCCCAGAGTGCCGGGGGGGCAGCAATCTGAGGCAAAGCTGCCACATGATACCCAAATTGCTATGTCAGAATGAGAAACCACAACCCAAACAGTTACTCATCCACTGTCTATGCTGTACCAAGTGAGTTCAGGGGCTTGGTTGCTGCCAGAGGGAAGTTGCAAGGAAAGACCATGGAAGGGAGTGTTGCCAACCCAACTCCCAGGGCAACTCTGGGGGGCAGAGAAGTTCATCCCTCACAAGAAGGGAAGGAAGAAAACCCGTTTAAACTCCTGCAGTGGTTCAAAGCTTAGTCCCTCTGCATCTGGTTCTCGGGCCCATGCCCCATCTGTGGGGGGAAGCAGGGGTGTGGGTGCCTGTGCTGGAATGCAGCCCCAGCAGTGTCCAGGGACCCCTGGCCCTGTCAGAACTCGACTCCCCTCTCCCCCACAGGTGTGACTGTGGCATGTGGGCTGCTATACCTCTACACCCGCCTCAAGTACTTCCAGGGATACACCGTGGCTGCACAGGGACGGTGAGTACCCAGCCCTGGGCGTAAGCACCCCACACCAGCCCAGGGAGGCTGGGGGCAGGATGTGGCCCCTGCAGCAGGTTTCCTTCCCACGGGTGGGACTGAAGGCAGATTTGCATCACCTCCTTCTCCTCCCCTCCTGCCCCATGTGCTCGTGGCTGTGTCACTTCTTCCCTGACTGTCTCAAAGGAGGGGGGGGTGCCAAGCCCTGTCAGCACACCTTGTGTCCCAGATGGGCTGGCGGAGTCTGACCTGAGTGTTTTCTCTTGCCCAGCTTGGGACCAATGTATGCCAGTGCCTTGCTGCTCTGGCTGCTGCTGGGGCTGGCAATGGCTGGGCTCCTGGCACACTTCCTGCAGCCCCACTCCTCCACATGAATGGCAGCACTGGCACAGCCCCTCCAGTAACACAGTGCCCAGTGAGAGGGGCCATGGCTCTCCCAAAACCAGTCAGCTGGCACAGTCAGGGAGTGAGTACCTCCCTGGCTCTGTGGTCCCCTCTGAAGGGAGGCTGACGCTGGCACTCCTCTGCTCTTCAGAGATCATAGGAAGAAAATGCTGTTCAGCCCCTGCTTCACTGCTGGGTTTTGTAGCACTGTCTGCTCTAAAATGCCTTTGGCTCTGCCTCGTGGAGCACAGATTGACCCGCATGCTGTCGTCTCTCCTCCTTACTGCTGTAATGATCTGTGTTGGAAGGATCACATAATGGATGCACAGAAATAAATTCCTTTTCTCAGTAGAAATCTCCTATGATTGTCAAACGTGCTTGGGAACTGGTGTGAGAACATCTGAGGGCTGGGGACTGGCTTTCATAGGAAAAGCTGCTGTGATTAACTGGAAAGGATGGGTAAACTTGTCTAAAACCATATCCAAATATTGGCAGAAAAGCCAATAGTGCTAAAGTCTGTTCTTAGCATTGACTTAATGACCTTGGCTTGGCCCTGGCTTCATTTATCACCTAACCCCAGTAGGACTTTGTACTCTCTAGATTTCACCTTCCACTGTGAACTTGGGGTTGACAGGTGACTAAAGCAGCCCTGCTGCAAGTGACTTTCACTGCTGTACCAAAGGTTTAAATTTAGCTTTTATTACAGTGCACATTATTTTATATATTTATATAGAGAGATGTACTTGAAAAATCAAATGTATCCAATAATAAAAAATACAGCACATTAAAGTAGTATAATGCATTCCAGTGTATAGCTGAAAGGACATTGGGATTTACACTAATCCCTACTATTTTTGAACTGGGCTACTTCTGCTTTTTTTTTTCCCCAAAAAAACCTCACATCAACAAATAACTGAAATAGTTATTTAAAAAAGATGGTTTCTGCACTCAATCTCAAGGCATGAAGACACTGGAGACTTCACCGTGAGTTAAGGGGCTGTGATCAATGCTGGCAGGCACAGTGTGGCGTATTTTATTTTTTTGTTTTCCCTGCCATACTCAGAGCTCCAACCCCTTCGGATTCATTCCTCCTCTGCTGAAGGAGGGTCAGTCTTTGACCTCGCTTAATCCTCAGCTGTGGCCAGGACTGTTGCCTGGGCGAGGGCAGGGCAGACCTCAGTCCCTGGCCACCTCCATCCCAGCACGCCGGCGGGATCAGCTGTCAGGACTCACCATGACCAAGCCCTGCTCTGTCCCCAAATACAGCCAGAGATTGCCCTGCCCTGGGCTGAAGGTGCTTTTTTCCCCCATGCTCACTAAAGCTCATCCCGACCCCAAACTGTCCCCTGTGTCCGTGTGTCCCGAGCGGCAGCCAGCATCCCGAGGGGCCGAGGGAGCGGAGCAAAGCCAGCCCTTTGCACGGGGTGTTGGGTTTTGCTTTTTGTTCCTCTTCTGGAGAAGATGACGGGCGTCCTGGCCCCACAGCACCACTAGGGATGGTGGTGCCAGCCCGGCAGCAGCTTTGCTGCTGTCTGTCGGCGTGTGCTGCCTCCGGCAGCCGGCCCTGCACTGTCCTTGTCCGGGCAAGGCGCCGCGGGGAGGAGGGAGCGGGAGGGAGGGAGCAGGACCAGGGATCCACAAGTGTGTCCGTTCTGCCTCATGCCCGTTTCACTCTGCTTTTTTGATAAAAATCTGAAAGAAGAGAGGGATGGGATCAGAGCGATGTGTGGGGCTGCAGTGGGGACCTGCTGAGGGAGCCCAGCTGACCTCGCTCAGGATGATCCACACCGGGGAGTCGCTCTGGATGGACAGCCTGATGGCCTCCAGCGGCCCAAAGGACGGGTCCACCTCGCCCTCTGCAACGCCCTTGGAGAACGAGCCTGGTGGGGACAGCACATGGGTGATGCAGGGACAGTCCCCTGGCATCGCCCCTCCACCTTCCCCCCTCCTTGAGGGCACCACGAGCCACCATGGCAGCCCCTGCCCACAGCTCCCCAACGTGAGATGGGCTGAAAACCAGCAGTGTGGATGGCCAAACAGTGCAAAATGCCACACTTTGGGGAACAAAAATCAGTTGAACAAAACAAAAAGGGGAGTATTTGGCTACTTATTGCTGCTGTGTAAAAGGGGACAGAGTGGCCTGACACCCTTTCACCCTTTTTGGGTGTGATTTTCTTTTTTTTTGAAAATGCAACTAGGATAAACCAGCCAGCATGCAATGAATGCTAAAGTGGCAAAGTGCTACACATCCCAGGGAATTTTTCTTTTATTTATCAATTTGAAAAAAAAAGACATCTTAGGAGGGACACCAGGGCTGCACTCCACACCAGCAGGTCCCCATAGGCAGCAATCACTCATTCTTGTCCAAGGGCAGGACAAGCACTAAAACAAGTTTAGGTGGCGAGAGACAAAGTCTGACCTGCAAATGGTGTGAGTACTGAGACCACAAAATCACCCACGGTGGAGGATTTTAACCCCAGGTTAAGCAACTGGATAATCTGCATAATTTGGTCCCAGCTCTGAGCAGAGACAGGCAGAAATGCAAGACCAAAAACTACCTGAAGAGGACAACCTGGTCTTAGATGGAGGGCAGTGGAGCAAAGGAGACAACGATAATTAAATCCTGTTCCAACCTGGCTCCTGGCAAGCAGAAATGACTCTTTGCCAAGCAAACAGAACTAAGGGTCTTGATTCACATGCAGGTGAGGACGTGTCATCAAACCCAGCAGACACTTTGCCACCCTGTGCCCCGCTGTACCTATCTGGATGTAGCCATCCAGTGTCCTGCGGTATTTGACGACTGCACCTCTTCCCTCCTGCAAAGCTTCCTTATCCGACTGCAGGCTCTGCAGAAAGAGAAGAGTGTTGTGCAAGGCCAGTGGCAAGAGCCACCCAAAAGCCCCAAGGAACAGCAGCAAACCCAGAGCTGCCCATGCCAGCAGGCCCTGGCACCTCATTCCCTGCCTGGCACCCTGAGCCTCATGCCCCAAAAGAAGAGGACATTTGCTGTCCTCAGGCTGCTGCTTCCACTGCACCATCTTGGCTCCATCCCCTCCTCTGCGGCCATCCCACCCATCTGAGCATCCTCTCTGCAGGCAGGGACAGCTTCCACAGCGATGCTCAGTTGCATTCCTGAGGTGGGATCACAGCGGGTGTGACCCTCTGGCTCCCAGCCAGCACCTCTCAGAGGCACTTGAGTCTTGTTAAGATTTTCCTGGTGGCTTAAAGCAGTTCCCTTCTCTCAAACCCCTTTTGCTTCGCACTCCACCCTCACCTCAATTCTCAATAAAACACTTACATCAAACGGCAGAACCTCCACGGTCGTGTTGAAAAGTTTGTCTTCTGGATGCTCGATGTTCCCGCTGCGGAAGAAGAACCTGTGGCAGAGACCAAAGCCATGGAAACCCACACTGAGCGAGAGGGGACACGATGGCTTTCACCCCAGTTGAATCATCAGACAGTTCAACCTACCAGGCACCTTCCCAAAAAGCCCATGGTACATGGCTTGGAAGGAGACCTTCTGTGCCAGACCACCTAACTCACGGACTGCTCACAAGTGCAGGAAAGAAAAGGGGGCTCTGGCAAACACAGTCCCACCAGAAAAGGGTCAAATCAGCAAGGTCAAATTATCCTCCCCCCCTGCAGGAGCACTGCTCCCTCCTCTTGGACAGCCACGGAGGAGATGGGCAAGAAATTTAATTTAAATTGCCAGAAGAGCAAAATGCAAGTGTCTCTGCATGCTCCAGGCTGTCCCCACGCCCCCCTGCTGACCCCACCCGAGCACTGGCCTTTCGATCCGGAGCGGTTTGAAGAAGCGGAATCTGATGAAGTCTCCTGCAGTGGGAGTGAAGGCCCAGAAGAAGTCCTCCCGCTGGTAAGCCTTCTCCAAGGTGAAGTGCTGGTAGGTTTTCAGGCTGGTGCTCACCTCAGCAGGAGGGTTGACGTGCTCTTTTCGCAGCGCCTGCTTTCCAAAGTCCTTGTCCTTGGGGGGCACAAAGCAAAAGGGCAGAGAGGAGCCATGAGCTGCTCTTGCTTGTGAGGAACTGAGGTCCCAGCAACAAGGCACTGCAAATTAAAAGCTCTCCATTTGCACAGCACAGAAGGATGAGGGATGGAAGCGATCTGGGGAAGGCACCAGGCAGGGGAATGCGTGACGGGATCCCAGGACAGAGTTTCAGGAGAGACAGCACAGAGAAACACTTCTGTTCTGCACTCTGATCCAGCACCAAAGAGCCTTTCATTGCCCAAGTGTCCCTGAATGCACGTCCCTCCCCCAGGAGCTCTGGAAACAGTCCTTACACCTGAGGAGAAGGCAGCTGGGAGAGGGACAATAGCATAAAAATGACTGGATTACACAGCCTGATGGGCACTGAACTGTGATACAAACTGGATTACACCACCCATTTCCCTGGGAATCACACAGACATGGGATGAGCACAGCCCAGGGATATGTCTATGGATCCTGCACATGTAGTTGTGGGAAGCTTGATTTTGTTGATGTTTAAACACACATCAACAATTTAAGCTCCCACATAGCAAGCTCTAGTTCACCTATCACCAAATCCCAGGAACATGGAGTGGGGTGGAAAGGAAGTCAGACCAATCCGGGAGTCATCTCTCCAGGGCTTTTCAGTAGATGCTTCGAAGTCACTTGCCCGGTTTGGCACTTAGGATGGGTGGCCAGGACCGGTACCAAGGCTTAAGAATTTGCAGTGACTCTTGGTGCATGTCACTGCCATTCTGAGGAGCAGGAGCTATCTGAGCTCACTGTAACTCAGAATAAAACACAATCACTGCACAGAAATCCAGCTGCCACCGTCCCACCAGCTGCTGTCACTGATGTCCCCACCCAAAGGCAGCCAGTTCCCAGGTGCCTGCAGGACAGGCCACCTGCAGCTTGGACAGGCAGCTGGTACCCACCTTCAGCTTCTGTATCTTCCCAGCCAAGGAGGAGTGGGTTCCCACGTGCTGGAAGAGTGAGGGCTTGAAGCGGATCCTCAGGTTTGCCTTCTGCCTGTCGCAGTGTTTCTGAAATGAGACAATCCTGCTGTGCCCCGGGTTCAAACCTCTGCGGGCAACTGTGGCCCACGAGAGGGATGGACAAGGGCACGAGGAATGACAGACAGCCCTGCCTCTCCATCTCTA